CCACAAATCAAGATTTTAGGACAAAACTAGGTCCTTGCTAAGCGGTAATTCTTGTTAGCTAACAGAGAGCAAAATCAGCCACACACGAACGTGCAAAAAGCGATCCTCTTAATGGCAGAGAGACCTGAAATGTGCCGGCATACTTTTTGCTAGTTCATGATGGCTCATTCCCCCCTCGTGCTCGGTTAGCTATCCCAGAATACGCGTTAGTATCCACCAGGCTCGCCAAACTGTCTTGGAAATTCGCTTTAACGAATTTCTCCTTACCGTGAGTACTCGCAGCTGGATGCGCAGAAATCCCCCATAAAGCTGTGCAAATCTCGCTTACCACGACTTCAGCTAAACTACACAATTCCTGCCCATCCAAATGGGTTAGCTTCTGTTGAAATGTGGGTGATTGGAGCTCCGTTACCCTAGAATCATCACACGACACTCTAAGGCTAGTGTTGGAATTCACATAAGGGCCGGCTTCAGACTCACCCCCGGTTTTATTACAAAACACACACGCCCCCCCACATGAATAAAGTCAATCCCCTCCCACCGAACAATGCAATGGGGAGTGCCTATACACAGGATGTACATTCCGATTGGAGCATAGCCTTTCCTAATATCTATCACTGGTCCTCCCCCATGAGCCTTCTGAGGTCAGCAGACTTCCTCCCCTTCCCCCCATGAGCCCTCTGTGGAGAGCATATCTCCTCCCCTTCCACCCATGAGCCCTCTGTGGAGAGCATATCTCCTCCCCTTCCCCCCATGAGCCCTCTATGGAGAGCATATTTCTTGTTCCAGCTCCTAGCAGTATGTTCATTCTCTGTACAAGCATCCCCCAGGCTAAATACCAGTCTGTACCCGGATGGGCCCGATACGATCTTTATTAAAACACATCCATCCGGATACAGTTTCAGGTTGGTAATGGGTTGTAAGATATGCATAAGCCTACACGCGGAGTTCGTACCGCTTGGCGCCTTGCGTTATGAAGTCCATGTGGTACTATGCTGCTGATATGTGGATAGAGGCCCGCGGTCTACTGCCAGTGGCATTCGCATCGAATGCCGTGGTGGTATACACGCCGGTCTATAAGCGCAGATCTGCCATCTCATCCATTACCGAGCTGAGTACTGTAATACATACATTGTACATGCGCATGGCCCAATTGCAGCCTTCAGAGCTTTAATTAAGCCACACGAGAGACATATGAATAACACTCATATATGACACATTTAAAGTTCGACCAACAATACAAAATTTCCATGACAAATATATGAACGCTCTGGGAGGTGGGATGGAGGTGAGGAGAGAATCTCTACAGACCCAAATAATACTTATTCATAAGGAGGGAAAAGATGCTTCTCAGTGCTCCAGCTATAGACCAATTTCATTATTGAACACTGATACCAAGTTGTACGCAAAGGTTCTAGCAAATAGGTTGAAAGATCTAATGCCTGAATGGATTCATGGAGATCAGGTGGGCTTTGTCCCAGGGAGAGAAGGTAAAGATAACGGGTTGAGAACTCTGATGCTTATTCAGAAAAGCAGAAAAGGGAAAGCCCCGGTGGTCCTCCTGTCAATTGATGCCGAGAAGGCATTTGATAGAGTGGACTGGGGCTTTATGATGGACAACCTAGAAGCTCTGGAGATTGGAGAGAGAATGCGAGAGTGGATAGGAAAATTATATAGGGGCCCACCACAATCATCACGGTAAATGGGGAGAGGTCGGAACCCATTAGGATGTCAAATGGAACAAGACAAGACTGCCCATTGTCCCCTTTGTTGTATGTTTTGTCATTGGAACCCCTGTTGTCAACAATAAGGAAAAGTGGAACGATAAAGGGAATTCAGACAGAAACTACAGAACATAAAGTAGCGGCCTTTGCGGACGACTTATTGTTTTTATGTGGGGAACCCCCGAATAACACTCCCAAATATAATGAAGATCCTGAAGGAGTATGGTGAATTATCGAACTTAAAAATTAACCCAACAAAAACAGAGATTCTGAACACTAATATACCAAAGAGTGAAAAAGAAAAGCTACAAAAAGAATTCCCCTTTATATGGAGAGAAAAAGATATAAAATACCTAGGAATAAAACTCACTGCCTCATATAAGCATTTGTATAGATTAAACTATATTTTCTTTGATAAACGAGATTAGGGAAGAATTAAAAACACTAGAAGGAGGAAAAATCCATCATGGATAGGACGTATAAACCTAGTTAAAATGGTAATTTTACCTAAAATACTGTATAGATTTCAAATGATCCCAATCAAACTCCCAGAGGCTTTCTTTAAGATAATAAAAAAAATGTTAAGATATATATGGAGGAATAAAAAAACCAAGAATATCATATGAAACATTAAGTAGGAAAAAGAGAAGGGGGGGGAATGGGACTGCCAGATGTCAAGAGATACTATAAAGCAGTAGTTTTAGCAAGAAATTTATGACTGGACATTTAATTATAAGGGGAAAAGTTGGGTAAAAATTAAAAATGAACTTAGTGGAACTAGTTTAAGTAAGATGATATGGGTTCCGGCACAGTATAGAGGAATTAAAGATAGCACAAGTATTTACACTTTAAATGTTTTAAGGGTATGGGATAATTTACACAAAAACATGATGTCAGGAATGGACTCAGCACTGGTGGTGGGACTCGCCTGCCGTGTGGGCTGCAGTACCAGAGCTGACCAGCGGGTGCTCTCAGCACTGGTGGTGGAACTCACCTGCCGTGTGGGCTGCAGTACCAGAGCTGACCAGCGGGTGCTCTTACAGCCAGAAGCTCACAATCAGCCAAACCTGGGGCTGATTGTAGAAAGGTGTATATAAGGCATGACCAGGCCTGTGCTCTGGGCCTTGGTGTATGTTTTCCCATGAGCCTCTGTACCTGTATCCTGTGTTCCTGCTTCGTTGCTGACCCGGCTTGATCCTGATCTATGTTGACCGTCTCCTGTTCTGACTACTGGCTCATCCCTGACTATTCTTCTGCCTACTCCTATGCTGTTTGACCTCCTGTTGCTGTACCTTGGCTTGTGACCCGTTTACTCTTTGCCTGCTGCTCTGTACTGATCTGCCTCCACCGTTACCGACCCGGCTTGTCTGACCACGCTAACTACTCTGCCATCCATCCATCCTGCACGGATCCTGCCGTACCTGCACATACCTCTGGCGGATCCCTCTACCACTAGCAGGTGTACTCAGGGGCCGCGACCTGGTCTCAGTCCTGCGCCAAGTCCATCCCCACCATCAGGGGCTCTGGTGAAAAGGCAGACTGGGGCTTAGACTCCGCGCCCTGGGGAATCCTGCCCTGAGGAAGGCTAGAGGTACCACCAAACGGTCATTACAGAACCCTACGGCCGGCCTGACCGTTCCACCTCTCCAGCCCTGACTACGCCTGTGTTCCTGCACCTCCTAAAGATTAGTGGAAGGTTGGTTTGTTCACTGTGCGTTTATATAGATATATATCTGGGTGGCTAATAATAAACTGTATTATATTACCTGCGTTTCCCTGTGTCAGTCCACACCTACTCCTTGATTGCTGACACATGAAATGGGAATTTAATTCTATATTAATGCCACTTGCAAACACTGAGTATTTCCCTCCAGGAAAGGAAGAGATAACAGGGAGATGGCTTAAAAAGGAAGATATCCAATTGAGAGATGTTCTGGTAGAGGGGGAACTGAGACCATTTAAAGAATTAGAAGAGAAGAAGGGAGAGATTTTTATTAGAATAGATGAGTGGAAATATCATCAATTAAAATGTTTCATTGGAAATCTCCCGTAACCCCTGAGATTAAAAAAGGAGTGGAATATGTTTGAAAGGCTGTTAGAAACACGAAGGGATGGGAAGCACGGTATTGCCAAAATATATAGAATACTCACAGAATTAGACACGAACACAAAGTAAATTTTTATAACAAAATGGGAAAGAGATATGGAAGTGGTATTAGATGAGGATAAACAGAAAAAGATATTTAGACTGATACACAAGAATGTTAGTATGAGAGAGGTGGAGATTAATTATAAGTGTTTGACAAGATGGCACATTACACCGAGTATTGAGCACAAGATGAGTGGGGAGAACTCAAAAATGTGTTGGAGAGGGTGCGGAGAGATGGGGACAGTTTTTCACATATGGTGGGAATGTCCGAAAATTCAAGCTTTTTGGAAGACAATAGTTAAACTGATTAAAATAATAACTGGAAATGACATAGGATTAGACCCAACGATTTGCCTCCTACATAATGTTGAGACATCAGTAAACAAATACAAAGAATCAGGCGTATGGTACTACCTAAACGCTGCAAAAGGTTTGATACCCAAGTTTTGGCAGAAAACAGAGGTGCCGAAGGAGGAAGACTGGGTCAATAGAGTAAACCAGATTGGTAGAATGGAAAAACTTTACCATATGCAGGAAGACAGGATGAGGGTATATTATATGAAATGGGAAAAATGGGAAAAATCTGGATTGAAAGAGAAATATAGAAAGCTATAAACTAGGACGATACATAAAGTCATCAGGGCCTCGAGAGAATAGAGTGGGAGAGAGCATGCAGAGGGGAGGGAGGGGGGTGGGGCCTGGGAAAGGGTGGGGAGGGTCGGGAAAGAAAAAATAGTTTTTAGAAGGGGAAAGGTAGAAATGTTATAGATATTTATATGTGTTTTGTCTCCTTTGATGGATATTTGTAATAACGTGAAAAATCAATAAATATTTAATTAAAAAAAAAAAAAAGAAGAGCTGGAAGCAATAATGTACTATATGTTTTTATGAATCTCCTTAGGGAGACCATTAACCCCTGCCTTAGCATTGGGGAAACTAGCTACAGAAGCTTCCAATTTGTGTAGAGTAAATGGCGCATCAAGTGCTTCTTGAAGTGACAAAGTAGGAGAATTGATAGTAGCAATATAAGTGGTCAGCTCAAGTAGTATACAGTCAGCCTTGGGAGAATATAACTCTTGATAAAAGGACTGAAAAATAGACACATTTGAGCCTACCTTAGTATTAATGCCCCCCTCCTTGTTCTTCAAAGCCGAGACATGAGTGTGGTTAGATTGAGATTGAACTATTTGAGCCAGTAACCTACCATTTGCCTCCCCCTAAGCTCATATCAACCTCTTCCAAAAAAAAATGTTTTTCCTAGCACTATCTTCCAACAGTTTATTGAGCCTTCTCCGGGAAGACAACCATTCAAGTCTGCTATCTAGAGTAGGATTCGAAATATAATTAGCTTCTGCCACCAAAGTTTCTATTTTAGTGAGTTCCAATTCCGCGAGGGAGGCAGTTTTAATAATGACTTGTTGGATAAGCAAACCTTGAAGAAAAGCCTTGAACAAATCCCATACTACCCCTGGGACAGTGGAATCCACATTGAGGGGAAAAAATACCTCAATAGCAGAGGGCAGAGGATCTTAGTTGAGGAGCCAGCCAGGAAGGGTTCAATCCCCATGGAATATTAGATTCTGGCCAGATATTAAAGTAACTAACAGTGGAGAATGGTCATATATTCCTCTGGGTTGTATATTAACCTCAACTGGAATAAGCTCGATAGAGCATAAAGCCAAATCAATTCTGGACAAAGAGTTATGCGATTTGAAATAGTATGTATAGACACTTTCATCAGGATGTAACTGTCTCCATATATCTTGCAGCCCCAGTCTCCCCAATAACTCTGCTTACTGAATGACTTCTGAAATATGAACAATTACAGGATAAGCCAATAAGACACCACTGAGCTGTTCTCAGTCTAAGCAGCAAAGCTTGCTTTGAAATTGAGAGGCAATAAAACAGAATCACTATGCGGCATTACAAAGCAGGGAACAAATAATTTATAATAAGCAAAAAGGTCTCTGGTGTCTTTTGACAACTCTTTGGTCTTGCCCATGGTAGTAGTTGGCATCTGACTGACTGTGGGGTGGACAGGTGTCTTTAAAGAGCTCAGACAGGTGCTACTAAGTTAGATTAATGAGTGGAGTAGAGGTGGACTTTTTAAAGGCACAGTATCAGGTCTTTGAGAGCCAGAATTCTTGCTGTTTTTTAGGTGTTCAAATACTTATGTTCAGCAGTGCAAGACAAATAAATTCTTTAAAAATCATATAATGTGATTTCCTGAACTTTTTCTTAAATTCTGTCTCTCAGAGTGGGAATGCATCTACAATGTGAATTTCAGACCCCTTCATGATTTCTAAGTGGGAGAAGTTGCAAAATCGCAGGGTGTTCAAATACTTCTGTTCCTCACTGTATTTCCCTGGCTATTCTAGCCCGGAAAGTGAAAGCCATGTCCCGGAACTGATGTCATGAACGTGCCTTCCAGGTCACAGAAAGAAGGGGAGAGGAGCAGATGTTTGTTCACTCTCCTCTCCCCCCTCCACCTGCCAGCATAGCTGTCCCTGGGCCTATGCGGGGGCACCATCACTGGGGGCTGTGGAAGCAATTGGCATCAGCAGAGTCGCCTAATTGCTTCTAACTGACAGACATGAGTGTGCCCATCAGATTTATACACAATCCTGGTGGCTGAAGCCACTTGATTGTGTATAAAACCCTCTACAGTCAGGTTCGTACGGCATATGGACCTGGCAGCAAAAGGGTTAAAGGCTAAGTTCACCGTTATCAGAATGTAATCTATGCAATCAAGGGGTCCCTAGTAGATATTATAAAACTATGCAGCTTTCTAAATGTTCATTAAATTTGGTACCTGTAGGTCATTTGGCTGGCTGAGAAACTCCCAGCAACCCCTACATCCTGCCTCATTGTTAGGGCATGAAAAATGTTTGTGGTCACTGCTGTAATGCTGGTAGTCAGTGTCCAACACTTTCCATGTCCTAGCAATGAGGCAGGACATATAAGTTGTTAACTGGGAGTTTTTCGACCAGGCTACTGGGGGGTGTCCAATTGGCCCACAGGTATGAAAATAAAGTTATTGAACATTTTACAAAGTGGTATCGTTTTTTTTTTTTTTTACAGTTGCGGCATATTTTTGTAATAACTGGGCCCCTTGACTGCATAGGATATTTAATGGAAAAGGTCAACCTAGTCATTAAATTTCACTTTTGGATGGAGTTATATTTAGGACCCTGTATACATAGAACACACATACAATATGTTCAGACTCATTGTAGTTTTGTAGAATTGCAGTTTAAAGGACAACTGTACCTTTGGTACAGATTGACCTATAAAGGAATGCCCCCACTCCCCGGAGTGCGGCCAACCTAGAGAAATACTTACCTCTGTCTCTGCTCCAGTGATCTTCACTGAGAAGCCTTGCCTTGAGCTGCACAGCTTTGCTTCAGAAAATGTTCCTGCTGCAGGAAAATTGGAATCCTATTGTATTTTTGGTAAGAGTGGTAGGGGAAGGGAGCCTTGGGATGATCTACTCCTGCAAATGGCTGGATTATTGATGTAGCACTATTTGCCTTAATAGCAAGCACGGGAAGTTTACTTGCTTTTTGTTTTGGTTTTGTTCTTTACTGGTGTACTACTTTGAGCAGGAGAATGCCCCAGAGGCTATGCTTTGTGCACCATTTACTTGGAACCAATAAAAAACAATTTTCAAAAAAAAAAAAGAAGAAGAAAATGTTCCTGCTGGATCCTGTTCATCTTGTGAAAGCATGTTGTGGCCACATTCATTCCATTTTTAGGGTAGCTTCAAGTTGTCCTACAGAGTACAGCTTGCCCTACAGGAATAGATGCCGTTGCAGCTTCAGACAGGGCCACACAGCAAGGATTGAGGAAGAAGGTAAGGAGGGTTGCATTCAGGGGGCTGGAATCATGCCTTAAAGGACAACTCATATCAAAGATACTGTTGTCCTTTAAATTTTCCAACTAAATCAATTCTAACACAACACACAGCTTCTAAAAATAACAGCACAATGTATCCAGTAACCTTTTCTATATGCAAGATCAAACAGTGGCAACCATTTTGAATCACAGGTCTAAGCCTCTGGCTCCACATTGCTTTAGTTACCTCAATGATTTCTGAATAACTCATTAAAGTCTTTTGTTGACCGATATTTTCAAGCGGGAAACTGATAGGAACTGTCAGAAGGTGACGAGGGAGAATAAAAACGTTCAGAGATTAATATCAGAACAGTTATGAAATGATTTGTCAGGGAATAACCTTTATGGAACAGAACAGCCCATGCCCTAGGGAACCTCGACACTGAGCATATTAAAAATGTCATGATTCAATCTAGAAAATAACAGGTGGAATATATTAGAAGATGGGGACACAGCTCTCTGCGATTAGCAGAAAATTAAAAAGAAATATTCTTTGCATGCATGATTATTCAATTATTAAGTGGTGGCACCTCATTGTAGAATGCAGGGAAACTACCATTTAAATAAAAAAAGAGAACAATGGCACAGTAACAATCTTTTTCATTAAATTATAAAAAGTTAATTGGGAAATCCAACTTAGAGTGTTGTTTTTTAAACTCTACAGACTGTAGTGCCTTTAATTGAAAATTCCAGAAGTCAGTCAATTCCTAAGATGTTTTATTTCACAAAGGATTGGTTGTGTTTTTTCCAGTACAGCAAACTTGAGCATGTGCTGTGGAATTCAGAGAGTGCAGTGGCAAAATAACAAATGTAAGGTACAGTTCTAATTAGTCTTGTTTTCGAAGAGAATATCAATGCAAAAACAAATAACGCTTGCAGCAAAGTTAGCCTAATAATACACACGTGAAATGCATGAGAGATGGATATCCAGTCTTTTGGCTTTTCCTCTGTAGCAGTTTCGGTGAATGTCACCATGTAGGCGGTTAAAGGGAATATATGGTTAGTCTGTTTGTTGAGGTGATAGCAACAAAGCGATAGGAGGAGGAACAAAGGAAGAAGATGTAGGAAATCCCATGAGGTCCAACCTTAGCAATGTCCATATACTGTAGCTCCTATCAGGTAATTATACTGAGAGAAGAGAGCTATCTAGATGCAAATGCCCAATATAGTCCAGCCTTGGGAACCAACTCTTTAGATATTTAGCATGGGTGTCAGTGAGTATAGAAGTTAGTTTTTCATGTATCATGGTCCCCATAAGTCTTTGCGTAGCCTCAGCAAAGCTTAACAAAGGACATCTCCAAGCTCTGGCTAGAGTTTGCCTAGCTGCTAGGAACACAAGCCCTCTGCCAGCTTTGTTCAGGTGTGAAATAAGTCTGGGTGGAAGGGCTTCCCATGGGTTGCGAGCGAGGTTGACTTGCAAGAATGATAGAAGCATATTGTAAACCCACACCCAAAAACAGGCTGCCTTTGGGGCAAGTCCACCAAATGTGGAAAAAGGTTCCCCAACTAAGATGTTTTAAATATTATTTTAGACACCAACAATAATTCCACAACCAGATCTTGTTGAATCATGCAGGGAATGGCACTATTTACCATTTACTATTAAAAGGAAAGATTGGGTAATATCTAGGTACATAAAAAAGCCACATACCTGTAAATAAAATCCCACAACAGATAAAAGACCAACTATTCACTGAAAAAACTGAGACATTCACTGAAAA